GATATGTTGTTAGAGAGCAATGTAGATTCCATTCTGCCTTCTTTATATCACTAAGCCTTGTAAGATGTTTTTGCTTTGCGACCTTCAGCTGCTCTGAAGAACAAGCTAAGAAATATATTCTCTGAATTCCCCAAATGCTCCCCAAACACCCCAAGCCTATTTTCTCTTCCCAAATTAAAAGAAAGTTATGTTGCAGTATTAAACTACTTTCTCATGCATTGTTCTGCAAGAAATCTTAACTTTATGTACTGTGGGACAACATTGCCTATGCAAATCCAATTCAGTGTGTTGTTCCTCAAAAGAAATTCAGTATTTAGTAGTGCTTAGTTCTACCTAAAAGTATATTAGAGTCTCAAAATTAAGTCTATCTCTCAATTTGTATTTGCAATGGCTGAAATCAGAATATTTGACTTGTGGGAAAAATTCTGCTGGATGATTGTTGGGTTTAGAAGAGGTACCTACATAGTAGTGACTGATGGAAGGGTCTAGATTAGAAGGCCCTTTGGTCTAGCCTAACAATGATTCTTTAATGGAGAAAGTGAAAGTTTCCTATCCTTTTGGTAAAAATTAAGAACTAATGGAAACCCACAGGAGAAATGTGACAATGCTCACTTTAGTGCACCACTATAGAGTACAGATATACTAGACAGTGATGATTCCTCATTTGGCAATCAATTAAAAGAAAATCCTTGAGAGAATCTCGGGGAAGTGAGTTCTGGCATTAGAAAATATACAACAGGCAGAAACATCCAAATATACAATCTCTTAAGTAATATATGTTCCTAACCAGGTTCACTGAACCACTTGTGCTATAAACATCTGAATTAGCTTTGAGACAAAAGAAATGTTAATAAAGCAAGCAAGACACTGTGAGCAAAACATTGTAAGCAAAACACTGTGAATGATATAATTTCCTTTCAGGATATGAAGTAGCTTAAGAACTGCTTCAAGCCTATGAAATATGAGTATACTAGATTTTGAACCTCAGTTGAAAAAAATCTACTTTGAAAACTCTAGTCATATATCCCAAATATAAACCATCTGTTTATTCAATTGTAATGGATGCTCCATATACTGTATATACCCAGGCACCAGGAGTGTTTGCAGGGATGAGTCAAAGAAGTCAAGATGAAGGTCACAACTGTGCAATCAAAGCCCTGAGGTTTTGGTATATGTGTTGATGTGACATGCATGTCAAATGTGGTGGCGCTTCTGTCATGTAGTCATAACCACCATTTGATTATTTGACTTCCTCATAGATGTCAGTATCTATATACTCTTGTTCTATTACAAATTACCTATAATTTTATAAAGCTAACTAAAACTAAAAAGATATTGTTTCCTGATTGCTTATTTGTATCCTATGACTATCATTAAGTGTTGTATCTTTTCTTTTATGTACACTGAGAGCATATGCACCAAGACAAATTCCTTGTGTGTCCAATCACACGTGGCCAATAAAAAATTCAATTCAATTCAATTCAATTATTCTATTCTATTCTATTCTATTCTATTCTATTCTATTCTATACATAAATAATCAGAATCAACTTGAGTCCCCTTCAATTTCATAAAAGTCCTTCATAGAAACTTGGAAATTTAAATTCCAGAAGCACAAATTCAGTTGCTTGTTGGCTAAAAAACATTTTATTTTATTTATTTGTCAAATTTACATAGCTGCCCATTTCACAAAAAAAGTGACTCTGGGCAGTATTCAACAAAGCTTTCTCGTGTTTATCAACCTTCCTCAGAAATACTAGAAAAATCTTGCCCACTCCAATATTCTAACAATAGTGTTAAACTCAGTTTTTTTCCTCTTACAAAACTTCCACTAGGCAACACTGGTGTGTAGCATGGATTTCTCTCTCTTATAAGTTTCAGGCCTGATAGTGCTGTACAACCTTAACTGAGACTTCCAAGTTCTTCCCAAATTTGCCACCAAATGGCAATTTCTCATAGGAAAAAGATTAAAATGGTACAATACACTAAGAGGAATCACTTTAACTGTATTTAATTAGTTTCAATGTGTTTTAATTAATTACATTAAATAGAAACCAAACCATTTTTATTCTAGCTTTCCTCACTTTTGGTCTGTTCTTCAGCATACAGTCTCTGGCATTCCACCGAAAAGCCAAGTGCAACTTTCAGTTACTACATGTCTCGGTTTTAAGTCAAGTATACTTCAGAAGGACAGGGTCCCAAGATTTCAATTATATTCCCTTCTCCCTCAATAGACATATCTCCAAATGCAAATACCCAGGATTCTCTTTGATAATCCCCTCCCCCCCAAGTAATTTCCCTTGGCCATTCCATTTGTTGGAATGGATCAAGTCTGACTAACAAGGCAACAAGAGATTCAAAAGAGTCCATCTATTTCATAATTACTTGTAATTTTTCTTTTTTGGGGGGAGACATTTTTAACAGGCAAAAGGTGTCAGTACTGATGGGAGATGAAACTGGAAATGGTTCTTTTGCAAAACCTCTTGCATGAAATCCAGGTCAACATAATGGAAGCAGTGCAGGCCAGATGGGACTTACAGCACAAATTGACAGTATGGAATCCAGCCAGACCCTTTCCAGCCTTCTCTACTGCATGGTCCCAGGGCTGACCTGGACATTATTGTAGGCCTATAGTACATTGGCTGCTTCAGGTATCAGAGGGGGAAAAGTGAGGAAGAAGGGCAGATTGGACCTTATCCTTATTGTCCTTATTTTCTATCTTCCCCCACCCCTACCATATTGGTTGCTTCCTCCACAGACCATGCAGCTATTACAATGACACCATTCCTCTGACTTACTCTACTGAGTGCAAATGTTTACCGCTGCCATTTTTAATGGGCATTAGTATTGAACACAGGTGTCAAACTTGCGGCATCATATTGCCATCACGTGACATTTTGCGATGTTTTTCCCATTGGAGCTATGGTGGGCGTGGCCTGCGTGTGACACATCTGGCCTGCAGGCTGCCAGTTTGACACTCCTTTAGAACCACGTTTTGGGAAACCCTGCTTTTCTCATTGTTTTTACTCTCTCTCCATTATTTTAGTTATTTTTTTTCAGTGACAGAAATCTGGACCATCCTTTAATGATTTAGAGCATGGGCTTGCAATTTTTTTTCAAACTGCATAACCTCTTAATCATCAACAAACTTAATGAAATCTCTGAGCACAAAATGGAGGCCATGGCATTTTTTTTTTGTGGGAATACAAGTCCCACTTTATGCTTAAAGAAAATTTAATATGGTTGTTGCTAACTGCATTTGAGTGAAGTTTTTTAAAAAAACCTTTTGAAAAACTCTGAATCGAAGTCTAGTACTGTGCATCCAGAATTGGTGAGATTTATTCTAAAGCCAATCTGCATGCAATTACATTCTAAATTTACTTGTACTGGGCAATAGTTCAGAACAAAATGTCACCACTGTTACATTTATGGCTTTCAATGTGAGGCCATATGCAATCCCCCAAAACTTATATGAAACTTCTAGACCATCTCCAGAAGTTGCCACCAGATGGAAAGGGTGAAGAAGTGAAAGGTGTCCTGAGAATTAACTTAATTCAAATTTTGTTTTTGACTTGGCAGGCCCTGTCTACTTTATGTGTGGCCTCCAGTACCCATCTCAAAGTATGTCTTTCAGTTTTGCAATTGTTCTTTTTAACTCCTATATTTTACCTTGTTTTTAACTTTGTTTTTGACTGTGGCTTTTGTATGATTTTATTGTTTTATTTGTAAAGCACTCATTCATGCAAGTATGATGGACAGTACAGAAATTTCATAAATAAATAAAAGTCTACATACACTTCCCAACATCCATGCTTTCCCTCCTTTAATAAACATCATTTTAGAACTGACATTTCCTTCTGTGACACAGAAAAGGGGGAATAAGTTTCTAAAGCGGCACTTCATATTAGCAGTTGTTGAAAATACCTATCTATTTGAAAAACAATTAGCCCAATTTCATCATTTTAGAATTAAATAATCCAAAAGAGATTAAACATTGCAGACCTACTCTTTTGTTTAGCTTACCAAGTAATGATTTGTGGTTCTCCCCTCCTCCTCCCTTTTGTAACTCTTCCAATCTTCTGAAGGCAGGTTCTTGTGAACAGTGTTATGTTTAATGAGAAAATATTCAAATGCATGTTTCCTCTTAATCACACAACCTCCCAAACTTATTCTAGGTAGCAACTTGTTTTCTCTTCTATGATCAGAAGTTGCAAAATAATGCAATGGTTATTCAACAGTGAGAAGTGAGTGTAGAATTAAAATTACCCAGTATTAAAAAAAAAAAAAATCCAGAATCACATGGCATCTTAAACATAAACACATGTAGAAAATCAAAAACTTTATGGAGGATGGCCAACCCCCCCTCCAAAACTCCAAAGCCAAAACACTTTTCTACAAGATCTACTGTTCTTCTATTTTATGTATCTTGTGATAGTTTACTTTTTCACAGTTTTAGCACTCTTGTCACAAGCAGGGTTTCATTTTACAGGTGATCAACAAGTTATTCAAATATTATCTTGTTGGGAAACAGAGACCCACATTCAGCTGCATGCAGCTTTGCCGGATGGTTATTTACAGAACAAGTCACATTTGTAAAAGGTAATAATATATTCAAAAAATCCATTACGAAGGTAAACATTAAAAAGCTTCATGCGTGCAGTAGAGTGCTTTTCTCGTTCTAAACATGTTAACTGACCATTTGATAACCATTCGGCCACCAAAATTGCTTAACCGAGATAAAGGTGTATATCCTTCATCTCTCAGCTAGTTCGTGTATCAGATTTTACCCACCGTCCTTAAAAAAGTGAGTACTGAGCGACATTATGCAAACGTCTAGCACTGTAGAAGCTTAAGAACACTGCCCGAATTTAAGAAAGAAACTGTCATGAGTTTCCCTGGGGGAAATTCCTGCGCACCTTCCGTGGATTTTCTTACTCCCTCAATCCATTCCGATACCGGGGGGGGGAGCGGGGGGCATAGAAACGGATCTCCGACTCCTACCTTCACCACTTCGTCGTTGAGATGTTTGGGGTCCCGGTTAACTAAGTCGATTTCTTTGGTGTGGACGTCCTGGAATTCCTTCTCGCTAAGTTCGTCAGCCATGACCTTGTTGTTGGGCTTGTAGATGTTGCCTTGCTCCCGGATAGGCCCCGTATAGAGAAAATCCTAGAGAGGGAAGCGGAGATGGGTGGGAAAACGATCAGTCCGCCGCACTGCCCGAACTGAGCGTCCCTAGGAAAAGAAAGGGAGGGAGGGGTGGGAAAAAGATTCCCGCGACGATTCAGACCTGCTGGCTGAATCGGGGAGCAGATCAAGCCAGGAGGAACTTCATCCGGCCACTGTTCCTCAAGGCTCGGCTTTTTAAAAAGTACCTCCAACACACCCCTCTGGGAACCGGCCTGAGTTGCAATTCCACCTCGCGCCGCCAGGTGGCCTCTATAGGCAGAAATAGGGCGAGGCGAGCTCCGCGGAGCAGGGAGCGGCTACCTCGCCCTTGAATTCCGGCGCTTCCAGCTCCGGGCGCCGAAATCGCCGATAAATGTCATCGCTGCCAGAATTACCCACCCTCCGCGGGAGAAAACCAGACAAAACTTCACAGATCCTTTGGTTAGACGGAGGTTCTTGACTTCAGTGCCCACGATAATTTGCGCATTGCATGAGCTCCCCTTTAATAGAGTTGCTCTCCACGGGTGCATCGCCTAAAGTCTCCTTTTATTTCGTTCTAGGATCTGCTACAAAAGTGGCTCCTTGGACTATCCAGGCAGGATCTGATGTTGGCATAAAAGCTCTTCGCCCGCCTTAGTTGAGCATCCCAAGGAATTGGGGTAGGTGGGAAAGAGGCCACGCAGCGATCATTAAAATTGCAACAGTTTTGGCCCTCAGGGACGTTTGGGACGAAGAGGGCGATAGCTAACTATTCATTACTATTAAATCGCGGAACGATGAAGGAGACTTCAAAAGATTTAATTTGAAGTAAAGTGACAATGAAAAGTAAAGTTTCAAGCCTTCTCCAACTTGGAGCATGTCAAAAATCTTGGCACTCTAATACCCAGCCCGCAGCCAGCGTGGTCATTGCATCTAGACTGGACCGCGTCGGAAAGGCTGCCTGGGGTGATGGTGCCCGGGAAAAAGGAAACCAGCTTTGTAACCTTGCTGAGTTTGGGGGAGATGCTCCTAAAATGAACGGGAAATCGGCTTTTCCGATGCCCGGTCGGTTTTACTTCAAAGGATTAAAAAAAACAAGTCCCGAAACCTCAGTAGTCAGCCATGAAAACTCTCGGGCGGAGGCCCAACCCGAGGCATTCTGCTAAGGCAATCCCAACCTCGCTTCCCTCTTCTGGATGGGTGCAACAGATCTGCTCCTCCTAAGAGCGAAAGATCCATCTACGAACGTGTGGCCGCTGGACTTGGGACAGCGTTCTCCAGAAATCCTCTCTCCCGCCTTGATTAATAACCACAACGCGGGCTGCGTGTGTGTGTGTGTGTGTGTGTGTGTGTGCCTGGGGTCCTGCACCCGAGAGATTTTGCAGAGGGCAAAGCCTCCCCCACCCGCCCCACACTTACGCGCCGAGAGTCGTTTGCCTGCTGGCCTCAGGGTGGAGATGCCCGAACTGGTGCGGTCTTTCGACTGCTGCGGGGCGAAAGAAACTGAGCAACCCAGCTCGGGGCGGGGGGGGAGGGGGAAGGAAAGAGAAGTGCCCTGCCAAGGAGATCGAGTTACCGGCCACCACCGAGAGAATACCCTCCCCTTGCCCGGAAAAGTCCGGATTTCCTCCCCTCTCGGGAAGGGGCTCCGAGGTGGAGAGAACGAGATAAGAGGCTAGCCAAGAGGGTTCGCGAGACGGCTGGAGCAGGTACCGGCTGCCAGGAATGTCAAGCAGTTTTTAAAAATGCAAAGCAGCTCCTACCTCTGAATCTACGTATTTGCTCCCAGACATGCTGTCTTGGGCTGGCTTGAGGCGCTGCAGAAATCTTTCTGATGGATAAATGGCAGGATCCGAAGGACGGGACCTGAGGCTGGCAGAACACAGGATTTCCCCCCTCCCCCCCCGCACCCGCACGCACACACAGAGACGGCTGCCGAGTGGGAGGTATCTCCAAGTGGCCGGGTTGGCCGCCCGCCAGAGTTTCCTTCTGCTGCTATCTCTGGGGCAGAGTTGATAGGTCTTGAGGCACATCCCTAAGGAGGCAGGGACGCGAGGGGCGGGGGAATGCCACCCACTACAGGACACCCTAACCACGTCCACCACCGGCCTCTTTATTCCCCAGTTGAAAGCCGGAGGCGATGCCTGTTTTTAGGCCAGCAACCCTGAAAGGCCCCGGGTCCATGCGTTGGCACTACCTCTTGAGCGGTCTTGTTGCTCCAGCTAAAGAGAAAACAAAAAACCGAACACCGGTTGCAATTGCTCGTCGCTGGGATTGCGGTCTTTCTTTAACAGTTAAATCAATATAAAAAAAGAGAGGCTTCTACTGTTCTGCCTCTTTCCTACTGTCAAAGCTGTGATGCAAAAGTCACGGGGCTGCCTTGGGGTTCTGCCTCAAGACGAGGAATCATGCGGAACGATTGAAAGAGTTGGCCATCGAGCCGGATCAAAACTGATGGTCATTACGAAGCTTCTGCATGAAAAACCTTCCAAGCTTTGGAAACTTGGGCTTCCCTCTGTGCTAAGTGAGGACCTTTTGTTCCCGGCTGCTACATTTCAAAATGTTTTTATTTGCTTGGTTCTCTCTCCCTCCCCATCCCCCCCCAAAACTGTGTCATAATTAGTACAGTATGCATATAATTATATTAAAGAGCTGGTTTGTTCTTCATGGTGTTTCATAAAACATAACCTATTCATGGTACCATAAATAGAAATAGCAAATGTGTTGCCTACAAAGGTATTGCCACCTGGATTGCATTGGCATTGGAAATGATGATTTAAAGGGCATATGGGGTTGGCTGGTAATGCACAGGTATTTTAAAGGGCATTAATGGCAGAGAAAAAAGAAAGAGAGGCTCCAAATTGTTTTGCTCATATTGAAAGCATGGAATCCAGGGTGTGGTTGCTGGCAGCAAAATAAAAAGTGTAAGAAGGAGCTTCAAGAAAGTAAAGTAGGCAGAGAGTCAAAATAAATAGAGACTTAGAATGGGACAGTTGGGGCACTGGATCCAATCCTCCAGCCAAATCCTGGAAATTTAATCAAATATCTGGTTGTCCAGCATATAGATTGGACAATGATTTGATCTTGCTTAGGATAAACAAGCTGCTCAGGATTCAGTCATTCTACTGGCTGTAATGAGAGCTGCTTTGGTACAGGTCTTAAAAGCATTGGGGTAAAAATGGGAGACTGTGAATTCTAGTCCTGCATGGAGAAGCCAGCTGGGTGATTTGGGAGTCAGTCCCTTCTCTTTCAATTCCAGGAAAAAGGCAATGCCTGAAAATGTTGCCAAGAAAACTACATGGATACACTTATAGTCACCAGGAGTCAAAATTGAACAGAAATCATACAAAACAACACACATGCACCATTGATTTGAATGGTCTGCTGATAATAAGACTAACATTAGATCTCACTAATTATTTTGTATCTCTATTTCATTCGTTCAATGTGTTCCAGTAGTCTCATTCTTTAGAAGACCACCCCTTTCCTTTGTTCCAGTGTTGGTATTTCAGATTCACTGCTCCCTTTTCTTTGTGTCAAGATTGAATCCAGTGAGTGGATACAGAAGGATTGTGAATTTCAACAGTATTTCAACAGTAGCCAACCTCAATTGAACCCAGCCCTGCTATGCTCATCCTTCCCACCCACCCCCAAAGGATAAGGCTGCATAAATCATGGGAGCAGGGAGTAAAACTGTGTTTGCAAAGCCTTTCTGGTAATCTTTAAATAACTTCTAAAGGCAGGTTCATACTTGAAGAGTTTTAGCCCAAAAAGTTATCAGAATTGTCCAGAGGACAGCGCCCTTATAACTTGATCTCTTCTAGACTCCTAAGCAGGAGAATTTTGCCACATCTCAGATGCAAATATTCAGTAATAAATACTGAAAAATTATTTATCATAAACATTTCAAGTCCTTTCCCATGGGCAAGGATACCTTAAAAAGACCTACATATAATCCATGAACAGCAAAGTTTGTTAAAAGAGCTGTATGAAATAGTTTACCATAGTTAAAAACCAAGAGCTAGGAGGATGAAATGGCCAAGATTTGGCTCCAGAAAGTTGCTGCCAGATAAGCTCTTTATGAAAATAATATTTAAATGTCTTTTTTCCTCCTTAAAAGCTACCTGATCCTTAGTTTACAGGGAGCATCTGAAGCAGTGCTTTCCCTGAAGAGCTTGATGGGTCACTGGCAAAATGTGATGGCAGGCAAACCTTCATTCATCCTAATCTCAAATCATTGAATTTCTGTCTGTCCTTCCTTCCTTCCTTCCTTCCTTCCTTCCTTCCTTCCTTCCTTCCTTCCTTCCTTATTTGCTATTTGCATTAGGCATAAAAATGCTGTCTGTTTCTTTAGTAAACATTAATATTTGTCAGAACTTTAAAATCCTATGTAACTGTTTTTTGTTTGGTGTGTTTTTATTTTGTAATAACCATGCAAGATTGCAAGACACAGTTCATGGAATGTTCCATGCTGGCACAGTTTATATTTGGTCAGATGAATTCCAGAACATGCTAGGAGGAATTGTGATGTCTGGCAAAGAGGTCATATATAGCTACTTAAAGTCAGTTGTGAAATATGGATATAAAAGAAATATAGATATTTGAAACAATTTGTGATAAATGAAATGCATCACTAAGACCTAGAAAAGCAGTTGCAGTTATAGTTGAATTAACCAACATTTTTATATCTAGGAAGTAGAGCAAATTCCCTTCTGAAATAAATGATACCTTTCAGCTTCCTTATTTATGGACAGAGCGGGCACCATGATATGAATTTAGCTTCCATGTATTCCATGTTCAACACAATGCTCACTGGAGCAAATTTCAATTTATGTCCAAATACAATAGCTGGAATGCCTGTAAAGCCACCTTTATGAAAATGCCTCCATTCTTTTCTAGCAATTATATACTGAAAGAAAAATAATAGCTATATAACACGTCCTTGAAAAGAGAATAAAATATGACTAAGAATATGGACTGTCCTTTCTTCAATAAACTGTGTGTCAGCTTCTTTGGATCCAGCAAAGTCAAACAATTGCTACAATATAGTAAGTCCATCTCTGGAGCCCCTTTGCTATATGTTGCACAGAGTTGTGAGATGCAGTTGACAGAATGGTTTTGTCTACTAGATAACACAATAGAGTCATGAGGTGCCATATTTGTTTGTTTGTTTACCACATTTCTACATCACCATTCACTTAGAAGATAGTCCGGTAACAGTGATGTGGGCCTAGGAATCTTGTAGAGATGGTGTGGCAAGCATTTTTGATCAGGATTTTAATAGAAGTCCTAATAGCATTGACTACTAGATGGAGCTGCAACATGTAATAGATTCTAGATTATCCGATCTGGGCTTTGGAGATAGCAGAATTAGCACTGGTTATGTTGGATGGGAGAGCACCAAGAAATATCAGGAGAATAAGGTAGACTGGAGCTGAAAGAATTTCCTAGTAAAAGACTGTAACAAATCACTTACAGGTTCCTCCCTCCAAACTTTTCTCTTCTCTGATGAATACCATTCTTTCAGCAGACAGGTATGGCTAATAAAATAATACTAAATTAGAACAGAGAATGAAGGGGTTCAAATAAGAAAAAAGCTCTATGAAGGGAATGGTGGCAAGGATGCAGTCGCCCTTCCTTTCCATTCTGTCTGGTGAAAGGTTATCCAGTTATTCAATTTGGAACAAATAAATAAATAAACACAGAAATAAACTTCACTTTCACTTGATATTGTTAAAGTGTACCTTACTGAGAATCAGAAACTCTGTCAAGTCAACGGCTTGCATAGAAGATTTGGAAGGAAGCTACAATATCAGATTCCGTGTGTGGCATGTTGGCAAGTGCATCAGTAGACGGTGGACAGGAAGGGGACAGCAACATTGGCTAAGTGAAAGTATCCTCCTGCTTCAGCTAAATGATACCCAGCCTGTGCAGCCTGTCAGCATTGTTGTAAGAGCAAATTTACACTGATATATTTTGTACTCCTCATGGCCTGGAGACAACATGTTATACCAGATGCCCATATTTCTCCTGATCTCTTTACATCGCCACCATGCTGTAGGAAAGTCTTACTCTCAGTGAAGTTTTAGGGCCCCAAAGGATTGAAGAATGTATAACTCGCCAGATATAGCTAAACTTCATCTCCTACAATTCCTTACTGTAGTTTTTGCTAGCTGAGGTTGTAGAATTGTAGTTCAGCAACATTCAGAGGGCCATAAGTAGAAATGATACCAACATTTGATTTTTTAAAAAATTCAGTTTGACTTTCCTTAAAGGGGTGATGTCTCATTTTATATCATTCTATGACAGTGATTAGTTTGACAGAAAGAGATGATTCTGAAGACATGCCATTATTTCCTAAATTATCCCAGAAACCAAAGAAGGTGATACACATTATTCAAACACATAGAGAGGATGCATAGGATATAAATGTCCTGTGTTAAAAATTTAACTTCACTTGGTGTCTGCTTTGTCGAATATATAAATAAAACCTTCTATTGCAGTTAATGAGAACTTATATTCTCATTAAAAGGATTTTGAAAATACAAATTACTCCACATTTCACATCTACATTAGATGTGGAGGTCAAATCCAATCTGATTGATTTTCTAAAGCCTTTTAAAACATTCTGTATAGAGTTTTTTTTTTGCAGCATATGAACAAAGCAGACCTTGTGATACACTGCTTTGTGATATCCACACGAATTGCTTTTTTCTAGAATCATAGTCCTTTTGCCCAATTATTCTTGCTCAAGCACCAATCTGGTGTGCCATGAAAGGCAAGGGTAAATCACTTAATGTGTTACTATAGAAGGGGAACTCATCAAATTTGCAGATGACACGAAGCTGGCAGGAATAGCCAACACCCCAGAAGACAAGGGGATTTGGATCCTTTGTCAGGATCCAAAAAGATCTTGATAGACTTGAATAATGGGTCCTAGCCAACAACTTGAAATTTAATGTAGAGAAAAGCAAGTTTTTACACCTAGGCAAGAAAGACCAAAGGCACAAGTACAGAATAGACGAAACCTGGCTCAAACTGGAAGCTCAGCTTCCCGGTATGCACATGCATGTCGGGGAACTGCTCTTCTGGTTTCTGGTGCTCCCCCACACACGCATGCGCACACTCCATTTCGGCACTCGATGCCGAAAAGGTTCACCAACACTGATATAGGCTCTCATGCTTTAGCAGCGGTTGGACTAAAAGACCTCCAAGGTCCTTTCCAGCTCTATTCTGATTGATACTTTTTATTGTTAAGGAGTGGTACTTGGGGATTCAGGTGCTGAAAGAACTTAAAATGTCTTCGGTGCCAAGAGTTTCATTTGTAAATGCAGGTATATATGAGCATTTGTAAAACAAGGTGCCTTTGGCCTATACTGTGCTTTTATCAACAGCCAGCTGATTCAATGCAACATGTGCAAAGTAGATGTCAAGTGACAGTAAAAGGAATACTATAACCTAGGACTGGACAAGATTGTCCAGGACATCTAACTGCCTAAAAGAAAGAACAATCCATGTTGCAAGCATGAAACCTGACTGCCTGGACATCTAGATTCTTATGTTAATATATGCTAAGCGCGGTATGGACTGGCCTGTCATCCCATACCTCACTGTCTTAGACTTAGAATAATTGTCACTTTGAATGTACTAATCAGAATACATTAAAATGAAATTTTGTAAATTTTGTCTTTTTCTTGCAACCATTCACTTTTTTGTTTTGTTTTAAGTCAGATGTAAAAAGGATCCTGGCAGATGCCCAGGATTCTATTGATACTTCGGTATGGGTGGTCATGAGCATTATATTGCCTATTGATGGTTTAATGTAACTTTGTTAAAAATGAGTCCACCTGGCAATTGAATTGACATACCTTTTTCTGCAATGTTTGTCTATGACTATAATAAACTTTAACTAAATAAATGTTATTTGCAAGAGAACATCCTTCTAACTATACCAGTAATATATTTATTATGAGAAGTATTTATATTCAACCATAAAGACAGAAAAAAATTGAATGTTGTATCAACCACTTTAATAAAAATAATCTTTAAAATACATACTATAGAATTGTTGCCTAGGTTGTTTAAAGCATTAAAGGGAAATTACAAGAGGTCTTGTGTATGTTTGGAATTGAGCCTGAGCATTTCAATGGAAGTTTTATATATGGTAACTTAATCAAAGACTCTTTGATAAATACAGCTAATTGAACATTTGTGTGTTTAAAATGTATATAAATATTGCACAAAGTAAGAACACAGCTTGTAGATTAAGTATCTGCACATCCTAGGGTAGAAAGGAGTACCTACAAATTTCTTAGTTCTATGTCAGATGCTTAGTTCCCAAGCACAGTAAATGCTGTAATTGGTTCTTTGTATAGAGTTCAACCTCATTGGACATCCTGCTCTTTCTATCTTGCATACATGAAATTGTCTTTCCATGCAAGGCAGATCTCTAGAGCAGACCATTTTTTTTAGAATAACCATTTGGCAAGATCATAAAAATAATACTTCAAGATAACCGTTTACTTTGTCATTTACATACAAAACACAATATATACAAAAAAGTCATAAATTTAATTAAATATAGCATAAAGATTTTCTTTCCTCTCAGATCAACATCTCATTTTAAAGAGTGAATTTGGGAAAGTTTTGTTTTTCTTCTGATACTTAGGAATATGCACAGAGGGCAATATAAAAAGCAGGGGTGAAATCTAAAATTTGTTACTACCGGTTCTGTGGGCGTGGCTTGGTGGGGGGTGTAATGTGACTGGGTGGGCGTGGCCAACTTTTTTTTTTTACTTTTAAAAGCATTTTTTCTACAACCTTAAGAGGTTGCAGAAAAAAATGCTTTTAGAAGCCTCTGACAATCCCAGCTGAGCTGCACGATGATCAAGAGGCTTTTTTTTTTTTTTAAACTTTTAAAAGCATTTTTTTGGTCAAAGAGGTTGTAGAAAAAATGCTTTTAAAAGTTAAAAAAACACCCTCTGATGATCGCACAGCTCAGCTGGGCATTGTGGGGGGGGGCAGGAATTTTTGCTACCGGTTCTCCGAACCACCCGCCGCCATCACTACTGGATCAGGGAGCATTTCACCCCTGATAAAAAGTATTCAGCCAGTATCCTTTACCTGTTAAGCTTTGTGTCTACTTGTTCTACAACTCTTTTGAATTCACAACTTTTACAGAATTTTGGAAACCCTCAAATCCTGTTAACATATATCCCTTATAACCTCCCTCCTCCCATGAGGCATGTACTTGGTTACCCAGCTCGGAGTCCTTACATGCTGCTCTAATTCACAGAAGTCCTGCAAGAGCTTTCCTATAGGCATTCATGCAAATGAAAACAAATGGTTGCATGAATTCTTCTGTTATTTAGAAATTGCACTTGGAGCACATTTGTACAGCTGAGCACCTCACTGTCAACTTTGGAAATGGGGCTTTTATGATCTGGGGCTGGAACTAATCAATAATCCAAGGATATGTGTATATATGTTCCAAAATATTTTTAAGCATAAAAACGGAGAAAAAGGCCCCAATGTATACAAAAGGATGAAGGCTATTGCTGAGCACATTGTAAGCCGCCCTGAGTCTCCAGAGAAGGGCGGCACATAAATCAATTTTTTTAAAAAAATAAAAAAAATAAAAATAAATAATAAATAATAAAAAAAATCACTTGCAGGCAATACTGTATTAAGCTTCTCAAATGGCTGTGCCCACCTAAGTATTTACCTGTTTTTGCTTGTGTTGTACTATAAATATTTCTGACTTGCTGCTCTCTAAGCAAGCATCGAAATGTTACCTTTAGTATTCACTGAAGATGAATGTGCATGGTTCTACCAGGTTTTAAGATCCTATTGTGTTGGAAATCCATGGGTTTGGAAACTGTCAATACTTGAAATATGAATTACAGGTAGTCCTCGATTTACAACAGTTCATTTAGTGACTGTTCAAAGTTACAACGGCACTGAAAAAAGTGACTTACAATCATTTTTCACACTTATGACGGTTGTAGCATCCCCATAGTCATGTGATCAAAAGTAAGATTATTGATGACTGACTCATATTTATGATGGTTGCAGTGTCCCAATCTTTTGTGACCTTCTGTCAAGCAAAGTCAATGGAGAAGCCAGATTCACTTAACAATCATGTCGCTAATTTAACAACTGCAGTTATTCATTTAATAACTATGGCAAGAAAGGCAAAATAGGGCAAAATTAACAAATATTTCACTTAGCAACAGAAATTTTGAGCTCAATGTGGTCATAAGTCAAGGACTACCTGTATATTAAGAGGTTATACAGTTTAAGAAGCTGATATATTATAGAATCTATATACAAACCAGTGGTGAAATTAAAAAATTTCCCCTACCAGTTCTGTGGGCGTGGCTTGTTGGGGGTGGTGGTCATGTGACTGGGTGGGCGTGGCCAACTCAACATCACTCACATGGAGGGGCTCCTCACCGGCCCCTCCCCTCCCAGCCACTCCTTGTTCCGAATGGCAGGAAAATGGGGAGGGGAATATTTCTGCCCACCATCCTTCCCTCAGTCTGTGCTGAGATTGAGGAATGGAGGACAAGCAGGAAAATCCCCTTCCCCATTTTCCTGCCTTTCATGAAAACAGTTCCATTCCAGCTGCTCCCCCAGTCCCCCTCCCTTCTGGGGACTACCTTAAATGGACAGGCTGCAGCAGCTCCGATCTGAATGGAGGGAGAAAAGTTAGCATTCTCTCTGCTGCATTTAACATTGAATTCTGTGGACTATCGAGCGGCTGGAAGAGGTGAGCGGCGACCAGCCGGGCGTGGGTGGGGCTAATGAGGGGTGATTACTACTGGTTCGGCGAACCAATGCCAATAATTCCCAGCAGTTCACCTGAACCAGTCTGAACCGGTCGGATTTCACCCCTGATACAAACAGAGCTATCTGTTTGTGTGGCTAGAAATGCTGACCAGCAGAATTTAGATAAGAAAATCCTTCAAAAGTAACCTTTTACATTATGTTCTTATTTCTAAGAGCTGTATAGCCTAACATTTATTTATTTATTTATTTATTATTGCGATTTATATGCAGCCTTTCTCCCTGGGGACTCAAGGCGGCTTACAAAGTGACAAATTCCAATACAAATTACAATGAAATAAAATTAAAATCAGCAACCCTGTTAAAACAGTTTAAAATTATGACAGTGTACCCCCAAACGGATCAGTAATAGATCACCAAATCTATTGGTGGAATGATTTCTAAGAAATTTGAGTAATACAATAGATGAAAATTTGATTGATACACCTCAAGATGACCTCCCTTAGTTATCCACAACACATTTATGGAAACCAAGCATTAGAAGTACCATTACCTTAACATTGTTAAATGTCACTTGCTATCTTTTAGTTACAATATAAGTATCTTCCCTGTCCCCAGAGCAAGCTTTTCTCCCCATAAAAAGTGCAACCCAGCTGAAGGGCAGAAATGTCATCCCTTTAAGTAGCAGTAGCTTTGGAATGAATGCTTATGTGTCTCTATATTATACCAATAAGGAGACTTTAATAGCACTTAGGACTAAAATAGCATTGGATCCAAATTGTTCACTCTTGGTCAAGATGTATGTTGATTGCTGAAAAGCACCGTCCCATGCTGTGACACACTGGTGCAATGAAAACATCTGTCAAGCTCTTCCATACAGCTTGCACAGATGGCAAGATCAAAAGGATAGACCTTATGAATGGCATCACAACCCTAGACAAAAAAAGAGAGATTTGTTAGCAATAATTTCTTAAACTTCATTACCTTTGTAATGAAGATAACTAGATCTGAAACATCCTAAATAAGACATAATTTTAGTGCATGAGTAGCAAGATAGAATTGGTCTTACTGTAGGTTACAGATGCCTACAAAATCTTTTAATTAGCCTAGAAGCACCTGTGTTGCAATTTAGTGCAATTAATATCTCTTTATTTATTAATTAAATTTATATAGCTACCCATCTCATGAAAAGTGACTTTGGGTGTCGTACAATAATTGGTAAAGAACAATACATGTATAAAAACATACATAAAACAGAAAAATCAGCATTAAAATGATTAAAATTAAAAACACAGTACAAACCCCAAGCAGAGAGAGAGAGTACATCCACTTTAATCTACATAATATTTACTTAAGCATTATTACATTTCAATCACATTAAATGGGTCTGATAAATCTGATGATATTTATAGTCAAAATAAGTTTTATTCACATATACACCTTGGTGTAATAAAGATTAACATGTTTTAATAAGCATGACAAGTTATGCTTGTTATCAGTTAGGATAACACTGGCCAGATTCACTCATTATGATCAACAATTATCTAATTAGTTTCATTTTTTTAGCTTTGTTATATAAATGTAGGTACCATGATTGTGAAACATGGTTTACCAGTATTTACCAGATTATGCAGATCCAGTAACTGCAGTGGTGGGTTTCTACTGGTTCACCCCAGTTCGGATGAACCGATAGTGGCAGAACCGATAGTGGCAGTGGCGGGAGGCTCCGCCCACCTGCTGGATGTCATCATGGATGCTCTGCGCATGCGCATGTTCACAGTTCTGAACCAGTAAGTGGAACCCACTATTGAGTAACTGTACTATGTTTTATTCAATAAGTCATGAATTAAAATCAACGGCATGATCAATAAACCTGGATATTGTTTGGTTTTAGCCTGCAATCATACTAACACATAACTTGAATGAACACCATAGAACATTCTGCATCTTAATTTTAGTAAATATGTGCAAAATTGTGTTAACTTCCTTTGCTTTTGAGTACTATTTATTATTTTGTCATTTGCTCTTTGGTTGTATGAATGCTTTCTAATCACATTAAAAAGGGAGAAAAAAGTTCTCCTGCCTTCAGTTCTCCTGTAGTGATGCTCCAAAAATCTGTTAATCACTAAATGGTAGAATAGAGTTTTCTGTATTTTTTTTCCTCCCAGTTATCTGAATTTTTGTAGCCCTAATCTTGTAGGTCAATATTTATTCCCAGTTCCAGTTAGATCTCAATAAACAGGATTACAATCTTAGCTACTGAAGAACTAATAAAGAAATGCCCACCCCCTTTTTTTCTACCTACAGAACAAGTGCCCAAGAGAAAGTTTTATCTGCTCCCGGTTTCCCTGTTTGCAAGCTAGAGTTATTTTCACATCATAGAAGATGCTAAATATCATCTTGCTCTACACATTCTACACATTCATACAACTTTCTTGCAACTACTAAAAACCTGGATATGTTCAAATGCAAGCTTATTATGCTCAAGAAAAGCAGCAGTGATGCTATCAGGATTGGAAGTTAATAGGCAAACCCATATTTGGGAGAACCTCTAGTCTTTTTCTCTTGGCTTTCCCTCTACTTTCCTGATCCATGCCACTGTGCTGTTTTTTTTTAAAAAAAGTTCATTATCCTTAGACTGTTTTACCTTTTCTTTTCTTCCTGTACTGTACTACACTGTACTAAATGCTAATCTGCTAAGGGCAAGCTGTAGGAAGATCTGCATCATATTATGGCTAATGTATTTCACTAATTTATCAGAATCCAATCACTTCTGCTTAGAAATGCACTCCAGTGATGGCATTGGAATAGCATGACTCCTTACCAGCCTAATGGCCTTATTAGCTGAGGGCGGTCCTGCAACACCTGACAGGTTGCTGCTATCTTACAATGGTGTGTTGATGGCTGATATTTCAAATAGCTATTTTATACTATAGTTGAACCAAATATAGTATATATTGATCCTTCTGACTGGCATAAACTTGAGATTTCTGATAACTTTTGAACAAGCAAGCATCACATTAAGCCATTTGACCATTCAAAATTCAATAGCAACAACATGTTGCTAATATTCTATCTTGTGTTCTCTAATAATTCCTGACAAACTGAAAAAAAACTGTCCTCCTTTCTTCCTTCTTTCTGTTAGAACTAAAGAAAGATTTCTTCATCCTTTTCAGAAAACAAATAGAAAAGGTCACTCTGCATTTTGAAGGTAGGTGTCGCGATCCACTCGACACCTGTCACGATCCACTCGACACCTTACCTCGCTGCTAGGATCGAGGACTCAACCGCTCCAGTTGATGGTGGCCAGACGGGGTGGATTGAGGGGGGGGGGTGTGGCGTCAGAGACCATCTACGTTACTACACGGTGGTGGGGGTGTTATTTAAGGCGGTCGGTCACGGTGGCGGCCGGGGAGAGGGAGTAATGTTTACCTTCCTGCCGTAACGGGACGGCAGCCGGTAGCGCATGCGCATGAAGCCCGGAAGGGCGGTGGTCAGAATTACCATACGGCGCGCTATTTAAAGGGGGTTGGGAGGCAGCCGCTCCCAATGCCGACTTTGCATGTATCCGTATACTGTTAGCTTTGTCGTGCAGCGTGTGAAGGCATCATTAATAAAGAAGTTGCAGCAAGCCTGGGCTACGCGTGCTCCTTTCGCTTGCCCACACGGACACGTAACGCATCGTTGACAGAAAAGTCGGCGTTGTACCTCCTCGCTTTTGGCGGTGGTCAGCGGCATGGCAGAGGGCGCAGCGGCTGAGTCCCCGGCGACCGAGGAGGAGTTGGATGCGGACATGGTGGGCTTGTCGGAGACCCCAGCGTCTGAAGAGCTGGAATTGACGGTTGTACGCCCGAAAGAGGCCACACCCCCGGCAGGCGCTGTTGACCTCCATGGGGACGAGTGCCGTCTGCGAGGTGAGAGAGACTCGTTGGGCCAGTGGTCGTCATCCCCTCCTAACCTGGGCAGTGCGTCATTCCAAGGGTGGAGGGAACGGAGGTGGACAGAGGAAGATGAATACGACATGAGCTATTCGACCGGACTGGGGGCGTCCACGTTGGACGTGTTAAGGGAGAAGTTTGGTGAGGCAAGCTTCCGGGACGCCCCCTCTTGGCAGCCATGGATACCGGAGGCACGCCCCTGGCAGGGACAAAGGGCGTCTCATAGCGCCTCGGAGTCGCGTTTCCGTCTGGCAAGCCCGAAATTACGTATTGGGGAGGAGACGCCACGGCTCGAATATCGTGACCAAGGAGCGTCTAGTTCCACCCAGACCGTATCCCATACAGGGCATGTACGGGGTCAGGGAGGGGATGGAGACAGGGCAAGGGGCCCACGCTCTGACCAGCAGGGGCCGCAAGGACACAGCCGTCAGCTAAGAAGCAGCTATCGCAGGAGCGGTGCCAGGGACGCTCAAAATGTTAGACCAATAGCCCCGGGTCCCGGCTGGGGTCCTGGCCCATGGCACAACCAGCAGCAGCTGTGGGGCCCTCCTCCCCTACAAGCTACCTTCGACGGCAGTCCAGATAGGGTTTCATTGTTTTTGAGTCAGATACTCAGTTATATGGACTTATACGGTCATCTCTTCCCGTCGCAATGGTCTATGGTGGTAGCCATCACCACTGTTCTGTCGGGCGAGGCGGCAGACTGGGTCGCCGATTTACATAGCGACCACGCCAAGGAATTAGCTGATGTAGGCCTCTTCTTAGAGGCGTTGCGTTGCCGCTTTGAAGACCAGTCACGCACCCAATTGTTGGAGGGCGAGTTGGTGGCGTTGAAACAGGGGGGTCGGCCTGCCAGACAATATGTCAAGGAGTTCCGAGCTGTGGCAGGCCGCTTACGGGCATGGCCTGAAAGGTTACTTATCCATCAATTCCGCCTAGGGCTAGATCGGGAGTTGAGACAGGCGTGTGTGTATAGAGGGCTACCCCCGAAATTAACAGAGTGGTTTAAGGCTGCGGTGGACCTTGATGTAGGGTTACGAGAATTCCGACCCCGGGGGGGTGGCTAGTTTCCCCACCGCCACACGGCGTGGTAGCGATAGGCCTGTGGGGACTCGGGGAGTAGGATCTCCCCCTCCTCGCTCTCTCCTCCCTGTTGGAAGGGGTGCGATCCGATGTTTCAGGTGCAACCAACTAGGCCATCGTGCAGCTGACTGTCCTGTCCCTCCTGTGTCGGCTGCCTCCAAACCACCATCGTCTACAGGGAAGGGTCGAGAACGAGTCCGTTCTTCATCGGACTGGTCCAAAGGGGCCACGCCTACACCGACTTTGGTGTCTACCCGTGGGCCGGCGTCAGAGTCAAGATCCCTTCCGCTCCAGGGCAGTACCCCTATGGCCTCGGACAGCAGTGACGACGGTGCAGCTGGTGACCCCATGGTGAGTGGCCCAATACGACCTTTTGTGATACTGTGGTCTTACAACACTTACAGACAGCAAGAAGGGTGGCACAGCATGCCCTTGTTGATTCCGGGTGTACCCGCTGTTTATTGCGGAAATCTATAGCTCTGGAACTGGGTTTACGAATGGTCCCCTTAAGGGTCCCCATACGGTTTGAACAGATGGATGGATCATTGTTGGGGGGTAGGCCAGCTACCCAGGTAACCGAACCGGTCCGGCTGGAGGTGGGAGACCATTGGAAAAAGATTCGCTTTGTGGTTGTTGATACTATGGTAGAGCCCCTTATCCTTGGCCTAGCATGGCTAGACAAGTGGAGACCGACTATTTGGTGGGAGGGCGGTTATCGGAGATTACGACTGGGACTTGGCCCTGATCCAGTCCCAGAGGAATTAAGCGGGAGAGCAGAGAATGCTGGGGATGCTGTACACCAACAGCCAACGGGTGGGTACCCTGTAGAATATAGTGATCTGTCGGCGGTCTTTGACGAACAAGAATGTGAGATACTACCCCCTCATCGGCCGACAGACTGCGCTATTGAAT